TCCAACGATCTATTTGCCTTCCGTAGACACCGAACCGAGCTCATTCGTAGCGCAGCAACGGTATACTCCAGCGTCAGATTGCTCGATGTTCTTCACTGTCAGCTCCGCTAGACCATCTTCGAAGTGTGAATCATATTTGATTGAAGGTACAACCAATTGTTTCTCGTCTTTGAACCATGGTGAATTTGCGGCATTGGAGAACCATCCATCTCGCAGCACAGCACTGCAATTAGGTCGCCCACATAAGCGACGATGTCCTCGAGTTGCTTTTTCACATGAGGAGGATAGTCCGCATCTAAAATTATATGATGCATGAGCACAGCTAATAATGCCCTCGTAAATCATCTTAATTAGGCTTGCTTCCGAGCTAAAATTGAAACACGACGAACCAAAGCTGATATTTCTTTCAAACACGCCATCCATTGATTGCTGCCTGAAGATGGCGCCACGTTTAGCCAAGCGACCGATCGGCAACAGATCGTCTGACCATCTCCTCAATTCCATAAACTTCTTCTTCTGCTGCGGAGTTAGCTGACCGCGAACTTTCGGTGCCTTTGGCGTCTTCTAAAAACGGACCAAGTAAATTGTACAGTTTGAGCTGGGCAGACACAATAATGCTTGCGGGCCTTTTATGTGAAAATCGACTTCCGCTAAACAGTGGCGATGCGCGTAGTAACCCACTTTTGATCTTGCCCAATATTGCGCTTCAGGCTACCAATGGACGAAATTATGCAGGTTTTCGGGTTGTTCGCAGCTACCACACTACGTAACTGCCGGTTGAAATGCTCTATACAAAACACTTACAGCGATCCACGGATGTTGAAGAGCTTGCTTCACTGTCATGCGTCGCCGCTTATCCTTGCACATGAGGCGACAAATGAAATCCTGCAAATTTACCCAATACGGTCACCTATCAGACAAAAAAACTGAATTCCGCCTACTTTAGCAGTGTCAGACACATCATCAAAAACGGGATCATCGAAGCCCCAGTCAGCTGCCGACACGTTGGCTAATGTTTCTTCATCAGTGTCTCCGAGGAATGGTGATAGCCCGGACAAGCTGAAAGAATACATTTCGAAAAATATGTCTGAGACGTTTAATTGTTCTTTGAAGATATAATAAATACTCACAGCACATAGGTGATCACTCCAACACTCCACATGTCGGTGCTGAAGCTGACTGGTTCGTAGTTCACAACTTCAGGTGCACAGAACTCGGGCGTTCCAAAGAGAAGTTTTACGGTTTTCTTGGGATCGAGCTTTCGAGATAGTCCAAAATCGACTAATTTCAAATCGGTGGAATTCTTCGACTTGAGCAATATGTTCTCAGGCTGAAGTTGCAACTTGTGATTATAACAGAACAGCTGTGATTAAATTAAGCTTACCTTCAAATCAAGGTGAACAATTTGGTTTTTGTGCATATGTTCTAGCCCTTGCAGAATTTGACGCATGTAGTCTTTTGCTTCGTCCTCACTCATCAACATATCGTCTTCAATAATTTTGTCAAGAAGTTCTCCACCGGATACGCTGAAATTCAACATACAGCCCACGATATTTATCCAGCTTACAATTTTACACTCACAATTCTTCAATAAGACACATTTCATTGCCGAGATCGAACGCTTCATGTAGATTTAGCAATTTGTCATGATGTAGTTGATTCATTATTGAGATCTCATGAAGTACGTCTTCCTTTTTGAACGCCAGGACGCACCTAAATTCGGATGCGCTTCAAGCCTTCCAGCAGTTGCCAAATCAGCGAGTAGTAAATAATGACAGCAAAACCAAACCACACACTCTAGAAGCGAAAGAAATTTACTCTTACCTGCACCATTTTTGCAGCCCATACTTTCCCAGTGGACTTCTCTATTGCTCGGTACACTGTGCCGTAAGCGCCTTGTCCGAGTTCTTCGCAAATAATGTACTGAAAAACGCTCACAGGTTAATAATTGAAGGAATACAATCAAGAATGGCATATACCTTATCGAGCAGATCGTTAGGCAGATGGCGAACATCGATTTCTTTCTGTTGTAGTGGATCAATTTTAGAGTCGAGCTTCTCGTAATCGATGAGCTCAGCCACCTTTTCATCGGCTATCTTTTCTTTAGCTTCATCGGCAATAGGCTCCTGACAAATAAACTTCCATAAGAAAATCAATAAAGGCGATAAAGCCAATTCTTTCCGCGAATTTGTAGAGCTACGGCAAGCTAATGAGTCTGAGACACGCGAGTTTGCAAAAAATAGGACTTCCGGTAAATGAAGAATTTAGAAGGAATAATATAGCAAAGAATGTACGCATTGTCCTCACCTTTAGACTGAATGGTTCAGATTCTTCTGAAAACTCTGATTCTCCAAGCTTGTTTGCTGCTTTCACACGGAAAATGTACAGTTCCCCAGGGACAAGGTTGAAAAGTGTGGTGGTGGCCTGCTTGGTCGTTTCTGCCTTTTTCCATTTTTTGTTCGCAGCCTAAAGGGGCATTCGGGAGAGTAAGAAGAATTCATGTAAAGAAGAGGGAACATACAGTGCACATTTCAACTGTGAATTGCTGGATTGGAGAACCACCGTCCTTCCTCGGTTCTGGCCAAGTCAGCACGACCGAATCAGCGGTCTTCTGTTGAACACTTGGTTTTCCAGGAGAATCGGGACGTCCTTGAACCTGGAAATAGAGAAAGTAATAGCTTGTGGGCACAACCAGCGCGAGGGCTTATAAATCATGCCTGGATAGTGATCGGTAGGCTGTCTTCGCCGCTATTATTCTTAACCTTCAGCGTATATTGGCCTGCATCGGAAGGACATACATCCTTGATCGTGAGCTGAGTGTCCGCTCCAGTAGTTTTAATCTGAATAATAATGACAGAGGATTAGCGAGTCTTCACAAAATGCAAGAAATCGCATTGTTTACCTTAAACTTCTTTGAGTCCTTGATTAATTTACCAGCACTATCGGTCCACTCTGCGCTTGGAGCTGGTTTTCCTAGAACATTCGATTTTAGCGTAATTTTAGCGCTATTCGAAGAAATTGTAATGCTGTCACAATACGGCTGGTAGCTTCATAATGTATGCAAATATCTCAACATGGGCACTTCAGAATTGTTCCTCAAACTTCAGCTGCACGATAAAAACGCAGAAAACGTTCAATTGATCAAGAATGCAGGATTACTTGAAGCTTTTCCCGAGCCCTTTACCCATAAGCACAGCGACTGAGGCCGCTACTCAATAGTTCAAGTTTTCAAACATAGCTGCTCACCTGAGAATGACAAAGTAATGGTAGCGTCCTTCCCTTCGGGGAATACGAGAAGAGATTTCGAAGCGTCCCGAGCGATTTCTG